CTAAGCACACAGTAAGCTATTGGCAGACAAAAAATTTTAAATTTACAATATAAAAGCTCTCACAGCCTTAAATTTAGGCAAAATTCTTATGAACTTTAATATAAATTTCGGCCAAGTTAACTGGCATTCTTAAAATAGCAAATTCCCTGTTCTGTAAACTGCCAAGCGATTTCAGTTTGGTACTCTAAAAATAGAAACTTCCCTTTCCAGTTCTGTAAACTAACAAAATCATTGAATTCTTTGGTATATTAAACCGCTTATAGATTCAGGGAATTTTAAAAAGGTACTAAGTTTTTCCTGTATGCATGTTTAGGCGGTTAAGAGCCTGTTGATGATGGCGGCGTGGAACTATCTGTTCTGTCACAGCCTTGGGCTTTGCATTTGGTGGGAAAACCAGACCAGTCGAGCACGTGCCCTGGATGGAAAAAATGGGGAAAGGGGGATGGGTTATGAGGAAAAGGCTGAGTGCAGATGAGGACTGCAATAAACTGCCATACATAAGTGAAAATTGTGAAATGAAAACTTGCGCGAACATAAATCAATATACCCAAGGGGGGGTCATGGGATCTCATGGCAAGGGAAAAATAGAAGAAAAAAAACCAAAAAATCCAAACGGAAAACGACCCCGACTCAGGTTTACCTCCTCTTAAAGCCTGGCTGCCGACTAGATTCCATGTTTATGAATCAGCTGCGAAACGTTCCCCTCCAGCTGGTGTTACCCTTTGAAACCAGGATGCAGGACAAAAGGGGTGGCACATTACCCGTCTGATCCGGACACATGTGATTGCGTGGGTGGCGTGGGCTGCCTTGTGCTAACTTGGGAAAAAATTTGATTTACAAAAAATGTGACTTAAATTGCTTATGTGAACGTGATTTCGTGACTTTAGCTTATTTGCTTTGGGTTTTAAATGTGATGTCGAGGCCATTTTTGTTGTCGATTTAAGGGTTAAAAAAAGGTGTTAAGCCAATAAAAAAAGGTTTCACATTTTTTCGCAAATGGAAGATTGGATTATAAAAGTATACAATATTGTATTAAATCTATTTAAATTCCAGACTTCTCTTTTGGTCCCTTGCGGCTTTAATAAAATATTTCATCTGTGCCCATAAATATATTCAAAGATATTATAAAAATCTTTTGTGAAATAGTATAATATTGATCAAAAACATTTGATATCTTAGTTTCAATCTCTGTGGTTGGTCCTAAAAATATTTATTTTCTTTATTAAAATGCTTTTACTCTACATATTTTCATTTTTGTAGAAACGGAAGATAGTAAATAGGAGAATATCATTTAAAATCATTTGTTACCTACGTTTTAGTCTTTTGTGATTTTAGACTTAACTAAAGTACCAGCACAATTGAAATAGGTAGTCCATCTAAATGCGACCATTATTTCTCAAAGGGATAAATTATGTTATATGAACGTTAAGCGGAAAAACAATTCCTCGCCCTTAAGCAAAGAGATTTTCCCTTTTCCGATTTATCCTTTAGCCCCTTCACTTAAAGCCAAAAACCATTTACATTGCAATTATGGTGGCAGCTTCGTCTGCAGACGTCAAGAGAAAAAATCCAAAAAAAACTGTTAAAATTGAAACTTAATTTAAATAAATTATTTTCTTGCTCTTTTGCAAGCGTTGTTAGTGCTTTTCCGCTTTTTCACCAAGTGCCTGGATAATTGTATCCGGGCAATCATCCCGCATTTCCAGTTGCCGCAGGACATGAACAAAACAGAACAGAACTGAACACTTTAAAACCATTTCCACCCGTAATTAAATTTTGAGAGCGGTTGAAATTGTGGCGGCAAAATAAAGGGCGAAATGCATTTGCCAGCGAAACATTTGTGCAACCAGCCAAAATGCGCATATCCGCCATGGAAAAATCAGCGCCTAAGTGATGGTTCCGTTTTTGTTTAGTGCTCAGCATTTTGGCCTTGACGAGCCGAATGCGGCTGATAGGAGGGGATAATTTGCAAAAAGTCTGGCCCTGGCCGTTAAGAGAACTTTGCCTAATCGAATGAATGTGAATGGGCCCAAAAATGTCACGCCTGCCTGCATATTCCTTTGACAGGTTTCTTAATAGCTCTCACTGCTCAGTTGGGTCCTTTGATCATCCTGAATGACCCTCAATTGCCCTAATCGGTTTCCAAAGAGCCTAGCACAAAAGGCATAACAGAGGCTATTTAAATAACAAACACAGCGAGACAAACATTTAGTATTTAATTGTATTTAACTATTACCTACAACTAAACATATTTTTAGTCAAGTTATAAATTTACATGATTTATTTAAAAGGACTAAGAGTCAGTTTACCTACATTTTAGAACTGCAAATACCCTTCTCAACATTTTAATCAACTTGTAAATTGACTTGATTAAAGGGGATTTAGAAAAGGTCTTCATTGATATGCAAAAGGTTGGCCTTAAACTGTCTAAGGGGAATACCCCCATTTTACTAAATACTGATGTTTGTTTAAAGCCAACTTAATGTAGACAACAGAAATAATAATTGGGGTATTTGGGATACATAAATCAAATTGAAATAACTTTAGTGTTCTGTAAACTTTACAAATTTATCAAGCAAAATAATAAATTGATAAGTACATGAACAACAACTAATCAGCCAATGTCTGTTTTCTATAGATGTCAAATAAGAATACTTTGATGTATCATAGGCAGGTACTTTGTGGAACTTTACCAAACAAAAATGATGATATCAGGACAGTCTTTTAGAGCTTCGTAACTAGGTACCTTTAACGAGCATTCAAAAGCAGTCTGTGCACATTTCAAATTAACTGACAGAAGTGTGTAAGCCCTTTGACTGCCAACAAGCTGGGAAATTGTACCGGCAAGGGACGCATTCCCATATCCTATTTAGATGATTAATTGCCAATGTCACAGCAGCCTGTTTCCCCAATGGCAAGGCATTCGATTTTCCACAAAATTCACTTTGCATTCAGTTGGAACATAAGTCAAAACAAACACTAGCACCCTTTTTTGTATGCGGAGTACGAGAGCAAAGACAAATTTCAATTGGCCAATTAGTGTCATTTAACTGGTAAAGTACGCCGTTTTCAAAGCGGAGCTCTATGTACAATTTATATATATATGTATATTTTTCAGCGGATATTTCACAAAAGGCAAAGTCGTCGACTTTGTTTTGATGTTTCCAGAGTTGTAAATATAATAAGCGAAACTCTTGGGCAAAAATGCACGGGACATAGGTCACTTGTAGTCCTTCGCAGATGCCAAAGTTGTAGTTGCTCCTCTGCAGCTGCTGCATTTGTTGCTGCCTTTCGGTTCTTGGCAAAAAGTTTCGAGCTCAGAATTTGTCTTTGGCCAAGTGCTGTTTATGCTCGGGTTCCTTTCCCCAGAAGTTCGTGTTTGAGTTTCAGCCGGAAAACACTTGCGGCAAGACCTCAGATTCAAAAAGCCCGCCAGGCTCACGTGGCTGCCTGCAAGTTATTTAATAAGCAATTAAGTTCCCTAATTAAATACATTTTCTCAGAGATTTACATAATAAGTAATCTAGCCCAGGCCTTCTTTCCAACCGGACGGTAATTGATTTGCCATGTCCGAGTGGTTTGAATTACCAAACTTGATTTGATTTCATTTTCACTTGTTAACTTATCATGAACTAAAACTAGATGAGCTAACAAGATAGAAAGGAAAGCTTTGAAATCGAACCTGTAATACTCTTGAAGATTAATAGGTAATCTTTAAGCCTTTTGTCTTTATGACACTTGCCCAAGGCCTTATGACAATTTCTTGGTATTTAATTTATTTAATATACAAATTCATAAAAGCTTGTCAGTCTGTTCAGGCTTTATTTCTAAGGACCTAAAACAAATTATTAAAAGAATTTCAGCTTGTCATTGTTTTTCCTTTCGAAATTTTACATTTTTTTTTTGGGCCGTCTCAGTTACTTGGGGATTTGTTTTTTGTGGCCTAAAAGCATTGGCAACGGATAATATTAATGGAGAAATTTAAAGGCTCACATGTCACAAAGGAATTTAAATTTCTGGCGCGTTGGCGATGATAAAGGAGTTTAAAGAGTGGAAAGGCTAGCACTAAAATTGTATAAGTCATCTTCACATTTTTAGAATTTATTTGGGCAAAGGAATTTTGTTTTACCCCGCACCTATTTATTTCAGATAATCATGAAATAGAGTTTGGGTTCTATTTTTCTTAAACCTGTCAATCGAAAATATAAACAAACAAATTTCATGTATCCACTTTTATAAACTCATTGTTAAAATTATAATACTCTTTTTCAAGGGTAAAGAGCATATTAAAATTGCATGCAAGCTTTATTGGAATACTTGTACCTTACACAAAGGATCACAAAACAAATTGAAGCCCGCACTTTGTACACTTATCAGAAATTGAATTAACTTCAAGTTGCGGCTTAACTGAGTTCGCTTTGCAAAATACATACATAAAAACTTTCTTAATCAGTAAAGAGCAGAGGAAATATTTAGTTCGACATTGTGTTCAACTTTAACCGAATAGTTAACACAATGTTATTGGTTTCCCGCTGCTTTTAATAACTTTTTCCTGCCAAGCCCACAACCTGTGGTATTTTTTTGCTGGTGCTCTGAAAAAAGTTCGACCCAAGATTATTGGTTTCAAGCTGCTTCAATCAGCACTTCAAACAAAAAATATAAAACTTCATTTAAGGCAAGCTATTGGTGGCTATTAAAGTGAATTCGGATGGAAAATATTAGTGAAAAACTCTCGACTAAGACGGCAAGCTAAGGCTTTAAGCTGTGATTAAATTTAGTACAAGAAGACATCTTAATCCCAAAGCGGTTAATTAAATAGAGCATCGATTAAGAAAACTCACTTTTTATCTGCTCTACTTTTAGGGTCACCGGCGGACAGCTAATTGCAGCTAACCCCATTGGCATTTAGCAAACGGAAAATGCTTCGTGACCGCTGCAACCACATAGCACCACCACCATCCGCATCCGCATCGGCATCCGCGTCCACATCCGCATCCACACCAGTGGAACTGGTGGCATCCACGCCAAATGCGGCAGTTGAGGCGCTGGCAAGTAAATAAGCGCCATTTTCGCGTCCACCTTTGCGGGCACGTTCTGGATCCGGATTGTTGGCTCTCCGAACTCGTAAATTTTTGGGGCCTCAACCAAGTCAGTCAAGGCATGGAGGCCATCATCATGACGACCCTGCCCACACTGACGACGGATGCCGGTGACAGCAGCAGCTTTTGGCTAACTGGAGCCCTCTCGCTCTCCGAAATGTTGGCCAACTCGAGCCACGGCCCCACTGGGAGCACATCCTCGTCGGCTGGAAATCCATCGGCGGCATCATCGGCGGTAAATGTGGCCAAGGACCACGAGAAGCACGTGAATGACAGCGTTTCTACGGGTCTAAGGTATAGTACTCCCATACCTGTGCCTATGCTTATACCCACATTCACTTTCACATCCATGGCACATTTTCTATGCTCGTGACTGGCTCAACAAGTCATCGCGATAAGCTCGGCTTAATTTTCTAGGACCTGCATTCATCTAATGTTCTTAGAATGCCATTGTATAAGTACAAGTAGTGCAACTGCAAAGGGGTGAATAATCAGATTACGTAAGTGGCGGCTTTAAGCCTATGACTAGATTATCTACTTCATAGAACCCAATGTTCTATATAAGCCGTTAAGTTTATAAGACATAAAGGAGGAATTTTTTTGGATTTAAGAAGATTCGCAATAATGCAACCGTAAAAACTATAATGCAATGTAGAAATTCTCGCGAATTCTTCAGATTTTTTATGCAGTTTATAGGATTTTTTTGAACAAAAAGAAGCAGTTAACAAATTTTAATTGATTTTCTTTATTAAAAATGCTTTAAAATTTAATATAAAATACTTTAATGAACAATACACACCATTTTTTATTGCTCTAGCAACTACAGTTCATACCCCAGCTACATTCACTACCGGGACAAATACGACCTAAGCTACATCGCCAAGGTGAATCCCTTTTGGCTGCAGTTTGAGCCACCTAAGTCGAGCACATTCCTTGTGATGGCGGCCCTCTACTGTCTTATATCTGTGGTGGGATGTGTCGGCAATGCGTTCGTCATCTTTATGTTCGCAAACCGCAAATCACTGAGGACTCCGGCCAACATTCTGGTGATGAACCTGGCCATCTGCGACTTTCTGATGCTCATCAAGTGTCCAATTGCCATATACAACAACATCAAGGAGGGACCAGCTCTGGGGGACATAGGTGAGTGTTTACAGAGTATCTCAAATATTTACTTGAGTAGGTGTTAGAAATATTTTTATATAGGATTATTATTGGATACAGGGACAAATATTTAAAACAGCGGTTGCAGGCAAAAATATAAACTTTGTCTTTCACTTGTGTGAATATTTTTTACAAGGCTGCACACTGCTTGTGTGGTGGCAGAGCTTTTTTCTATTCCCGCCAAATAAAAATCTGCCGACCGCTGATTTGAAACCAAAAACTCCTGATTGAGGAACACAATATTCTTGCCGTTCAAAGAGATGGGCTTTCCTGCTTTGTGTGGCTTAAAATAGAGGTGTTCCCAAAAAAGAACTAACCGACTTTCCACCCACAGCCTGTCGCCTCTACGGATTTGTGGGCGGCCTAAGTGGTACGTGTGCCATTGGAACACTCACCGCCATCGCTTTGGACCGGTACAATGTGGTGGTCCACCCACTGCAGCCCCTGAGACGCTGTTCCCGCCTACGCTCCTACCTGATTATCCTGCTAATCTGGTGCTACAGCTTCCTGTTCGCGGTAATGCCGGCCCTGGACATTGGGCTATCGGTATATGTGCCCGAGGGATTTCTGACCACCTGCAGCTTCGACTATCTCAACAAGGAGACCCCCGCCCGCATCTTCATGGCCCTGTTCTTCGTGGCGGCCTACTGCATCCCGCTAACCGCCATTGTGTACTCCTACTTCTATATCCTCAAAGTGGTCTTCACGGCGAGTCGCATTCAATCGAACAAGGACAAGGCCAAAACGGAGCAGAAGTTGGCCTTCATTGTGGCGGCCATCATTGGATTGTGGTTTCTGGCCTGGTCCCCCTACGCCATTGTGGCCATGATGGGAGTCTTCGGCCTGGAGCGGCACATAACCCCACTGGGCTCCATGATTCCCGCGCTCTTCTGCAAAACGGCCGCCTGCGTGGATCCCTACCTGTATGCGGCCACCCATCCGCGGTTTCGCGTCGAGGTAAGGATGCTGTTCTACGGACGCGGGGTCCTGAGAAGGGTGTCCACCACCAGGTCCTCGTATATGACACGATCCCGATCCTCGTTCACCCACCGATTGCGCAGCAGCAACACCGGTGAGGGAGGTGGCCAGGGAGATCACCGGATGGAGACCTACCTGATGAACAACAACCTGATGATGGTGCCCGAGGAGACGGAGGAGAACGAGGAGATCGTCGTGGTGGCCGAGATCAACAATTCGGTGAGCAGTGTCATGGAACAGAGTAAGTTCTGAAGGATCCCCACAATGGAATCGGATCTGCGAGGAAAGAAAGCGAGTATTCCCTTATTAAATTCTCCACCATAACTTTTAAAACTAAGTCCTAACTTATTTTAATTGTTTTCTATACAATCTTAAATAGCCAAGGGAATTAATAGATATACCTAGTATACAATTTCCCCATCTGAATAAGTAACAATTCCATTGTTCATTAAAAACTTTCGTGTTTTGTATCACAATAGAATCTATCATGGGAAAATCCGCAATATTATTAAGTCTGATTGATATGACTAATCATAAATAGTATGGATCGACTCAAGTTTCATTGTTGGACTAATCAAACTTGTATGTGGAAATAACCGACCGAGCAGCAGGACTTAGTCCAAGTAATTTCTCTTTCCAACACCAGATGCCCATGGCATTGTTGAGTGGGCTGAATGCAATGTCATTGATGGACCTACAATTGAAGTGAAAATAATAAATAGAAATGAAGCAGGGAAATCCGCCGGGCAGTGGGAATTGGACAAGGAGCAACGACAGTAGTGATAGTAACCATATTTAATGAGCTTATGTGATGTTTAGACAGAGGGGGGAATGAATGTAGAATGGACACCAAACTCGATTGACGTATAGACAGCCGATAATAGGTGGGGGTCCTATTATGTGGATTCCAAAGGAATGTCGAAGTTAGTACAAAGAAGGGGTGCAGAGCGGGGATTAGAAACCGAATTTGATAGGGAAATTATACATAATTTCAGGGAAAGTCACTCAGAACTAAGGTCCAGCCTTGGGTATTGAATGCCAACAAGCGGACTTGCAGATTGTTTGCATTGCATTGTTTAGTATTTGGGGATAGAACAATCATAAAAGATTGCTGGCTTATTGTATTTCAATTGTATTATTGTATAATGACAAATTAAACTAATTGCGTTTATATCTCAATGTCTAAACCGCTGGCGTATCTGTGTATCTTATAGGTATTATAGATTGTATACAATGTCTACTCTAAAATCGAACTAAGCAAACGACTTTGATAAAGTCAACGAGTACTTGTACCTGTAAGAATAATACGAAAAAGCGATGGTTTGCAACCAAGCCAAATATATAACGAATTTATACTCTTGATACTTACTTAGCCGTATCATTTTATATATGTACATGGACGTATATCGGGTATATCTGGCCACAATGGGCCAGAGAACAATGGTAGCAGCATTTTAATTACTAGAACACAAATTTAAGCCATTGTTGCGACAAACTTGTACATTTCCTTCACTACGTGGACGAACAATGGACACTGCTGTTTGTAACTGTGCTCGAAATGAAATTGCAGAAAAGATACCAAAGCGAGTAGAAGGGCAAAACAGAAGGGAAAACGAGGGAAAACGAGGGAAAACGGGGGAAAACTATTTAATTAGCATATTTAAAATGCACTTTGACAGTAATTTGTGTGTGCATTGTGTGTGTGTGTTTCACTTAAGCAGCTTGTATTTAAATTAGTTTAACTCAGCAATTGTTTGGCTCAAGTATAATGTGTATACTTATAATTTTCGTTATGGCGGTTAAAGTGTTAAAAGCCAAGAAACTCGAAATAAATGTGCGAAAACTTTAAAATACCAAAGAAAAATGTATTTTTAAAGGCGGGCTGGTAAATAATGGGAAGCCAAAACCGAACAACAGGTGCAATACAAAATAGTTGTGGGGTAAATATGGGTTTGTATGAATGGAGGATCCACGTGAGTCCATTGCCTTTCGTTCCCCGCAGCTGATAATGCAATGAGCGGCCACACCGCGTATACTTAATGTGCCACACAGGAAGCCGCATGCATTTCCCACTATTTTCAGCGCATCTTTTGGCCAAGAGAGAGCGCAGCTGAGAGAGCGAGAGAGAGAGCCGGCTACAGTGCGCGACATGTGTGTATTGCTAGACCATAAAGAAACATCTCTCATCAGCTGAGAGCTTTCCCCCTATTTTGTTGTTAGGAAACATTCACCAGACAACGACGCCGGCGCCGGCTGCAAAGACAAGAGCAGAATTTCACACGCAGCATAACAATAATTTCAGTCGCGTTTTTCACGACCTGCCCGCGGTTGTTGTTTCAACAAAGTTTCCTATTTTTCCAAAAAAAATAATACCGAAAAAGAAATGAAAAACACTTGAACGGTTTGATTTAAACAAAACGCTGCAGTTAACGCATACACATATCGGTGAAATTGGACCACTGCTTGTACTTCTGCCCAAGGAAATCGGAAAAGCCGGCGGAAAATAGGGAAAACGGCTGCCAGCATCCCAAGGAACCCAGCCCAAAGGAACTTCCAACTGCCGCGCATTAGGTTCGGTTCGCTTTTATGTACCCATCTTGGTGCTTTGCCTAATTGTATTTCGATTTTCCACTTTTTCCACCGACCGGAAAGTGCTTTTACATCCGTTTTGCAATAGTAATTCATCTGTGTGCAATGGCATTTCGAAATGTTCGAATTAATTCGGTTTAATTCCGAATGTGTGCTTGTGTGTGTGTGTCTGATGCCCAAATAAATATTGACTAAACAAACGCCATGCAGGGCATGTTATTGCTGGCGATTTATCTCAGTGCAAGCCAGCCGCCCACAACGCTTACAGGGCGGCCAGGAGTCATGCACTCTCTACACTGAGCGAAAAGTAACACAGAAAGAAAGATATTAAATAAACTATTCTTTCATTAAACAATTTGGGAATCATCTATTGGAACTTGATCAAAATGTTTTAATTTCGATTAAAGGAATTTTTAATGAAACGGTATTGATAAGAATTAAAAATTCAAATTTTAATTGATCAAGAAAACCCCTCCTTAAAGGTAATTTAAACAGATTTAATTATTGGAATATAAAATACATATATTTTTCTTTTTACATTTTTTTGGATTTATAGGCTGTAAATGCTATGAACAAAAAAAAATCCTTATCGATCTAAGATGATATTGATTATAATAGACACAAATTTAAAGTGATACAAAATAAGTTCTGTTAAAAATATTGAACACATTCCTATTTTATAAGGAACATCTTTTATTCTTTTTGAATAATCTTAAAACTTCTTATCATGCAACTTCTTAATAGAAGATTATTATATTTTATACAACTTTTTTCTTTAGTATGTTGATGCAAGACCGGTTCCTGACTTCCATGACGAAATATTCCTCAGTTTATTGTTCTGAAATATTTTTCTCTCCATGTAAACACTATTAAAATGCTCATGTCTGTGCCCATGTGCCCATGTGTTTATGTATCCACCTAGAAACGAGCAGTAGTTTCGGGTTCGAGTGTTGCGTGTTTACAACATTCGACTTCCTTGCATGCTCATCACTAGTTCGCTTATCACCTGCTATTGAAAACGGCCATTAGAGTCGTACGACTGAAATTTATTCTCAAGTTTAGGAGACACATTTCCATACTATTCCTCGGGACTCTGGCACAAGTTGCCTTGCAGACAAAGTGTCTGGCGTACTCCAACAAAAGCCAACAACGAAAACATCAACAGCAGCCCGAATGACAATTGAAAGGGACACAAATGAGCATGCAAAGAACGCCACTCGACTCATAGACGAGGATTTCCCGACCCCATTTTCCTCCCACCACCATGCATTTCTACTTTTTCTCCCCCACTAACTCATCCACATTACTCATACGACGCGTTGCCCGTGCGACAAATACTTGTACAACAATGCGGCTCAAGTGACGACGCGACGACTGTTGACAGCTTTACCGTCACTCAGACCGAGTTCCAGTTGAAATGGTTGTTGTTTCCATGGCCCAAGGTGTTGTTTACATTTACACACAGCCTTTGGGAGGAATGTGAATTTGTGCACGCGATTTGAAAGGGGGCAACTATATGGGATAATGCTCAGACAGAATAGCAAGTGGTTGATTTAATGCGCTCGAGGATTGCTTTCACGCAGATCATTTCTAAGGATTCAACCAGTATAATATCAACGGTAAATTTCTGTTTTGCTGATAATACAAGAAAACTTTTCCAATTGATAATTGATTTTGGCTTCCCTGAAAAAACATTTCACAAGTCCGTGGGAGGATTTTTCTCAGTTGCCTATGCTAGGAAATATTAAAGCTGAAACTGATTAAAACCTAAGAAAATATAAGCTCAAAGTTTAATTTATTCCCCCTCCAAATTCGATTAAATTCAAAGCGAATCGATTTTATAAGAAACTTTTGCAATATTTTATAAATAAAATCATTTTTGAAGAATATTAAACATCTGCTCAAACAGTTTCCCAAAAAAAAAAACTTTTACTCAAATTAATGCACATGGAAGCACGATTTTAGTCCCCAACGAATACATTAAACTCTGCGTCTTGTCCTTTCCTGACCCAAATTGATATAATAGGAAATGAAAGTTGGCATCTTCCGCTTGAGTTCATACCTTTGACAAATCAAGGGTCTTCCTGCTCACACACATACACTTACTCATTTTTCTGACACATTTAGCAGACCCGCATAAATTCTGGTCCAGCTGCGGAAAGTTCCGGGTCTTGTTTATACGATATTTACAATGCTCTGTTCCCAATTTAAAATTCATATTGTATGCTGCACTGATTCCACTCTTATGCTCAGCTAAGTTTTCAATACAATGCTCCTGATTTCCACCGTGACGTCAATTGTAAACGCTTGCTTTTATTTGGCGTTGTTTCTCCGCTTTATTTTTTGTTCATTTGGTTTGGGTCGGCTGGTTTTTATAGGGCGATGTGGGGCAACAAAAGCAAGTCGGGAGCCGAAACAGCAGCGGTAATCAAAACAAATCGAAATGCCTTTTTCACTGGCAGCTGCGCATCGCTGGGCGATGTATTAATTAAGTTGAGGAGCAGCCGCGCACAGAACTCGAGGACCACTTTTAGTTTTGTGCCCTTCCCCGGGGTTTGATATTTTTAACTAAAGTTTGGGACTTTGCACTTTGACCCTATAAAAGTCAAAGCAAGAAGTATATTTTAAATTTCTAACAAATTAAAAGAAATATAATATATAATAAAGGGTTTCTTTAAATAGTAGCCTGATCTATTCATATGATCATATGATATGTGATATAATCTATTCAATTTTTGGTATTTTTTTAAAGACATTCCTATAAAGGAACTTTTAAAGTAATCGTTAAATATGATACATTTTTTAAAAAATTTGACTGGTTAAAATATTTTGACAATAAAAATCAGTTTCAATGATATAATACATACAATAAATTCTAGAATTTTTTTAAGAACGTTCCTACAAAAGAACTTACGTTTTCATTCTCTATACTTTTCTATACAAGGGAGGAGAGCTAGGGTATTTAAAGCATAGGTTATGAAAATTACTCATCTATTGTGATATAAATAGTTCTTAAAGTTTTTATTTTTTTAGTTGAAGTACTTTGACAATATAAAGCATATATAAGAAATAAAAGTATAGCTTAAAATTAGGAACAGATCCAATATATTCTTGGGAATTTTTTGAAAACGTTTCTCCAAAAGAACTTACCTTTATGATCCCATAAACTTTTCGTAACCAGGGGTGAGTGCTAGGGTATTCAAAGCATCGGTTAAGAGAACCACCCTTACTTTGTGATATAAATTGTTGTCTCAATTGCAGTTGCTGGCTTTCCCAGCACCAAACTCATGCCTATACTATACCATACCCATTCCCTGTACCGTTCCCATTCAGATTCCCATTGAGGGGCTGGCTCTTCGTGTCCGCACTAATGACCGCTCGCTTTGCTTTTTGATTTTTTGGCAGCTGTAGCAGTGCTTGGAATGCCATTCACCGTGCGTAGACCCATCCCTTTGCCCCTTTTTGCCGCGCCCCTGCAGCACATGAATTTATAATTGCATCATTTTTGGGCACACAAGTACAAGTATCCGAGTATGACATTCAGTCGGTCAGTCGGCTGCAGTTGCATTTGTAGTCCCATGCCCATTCCGATTGCCATTCCCATCCGCAGTTGCATGCAAATTTGAATGCGAGTCCACGAGAAGCCGTGGCAATGCGTCAACTGGCAGGCCTTCTCTGGGATAATTTAAAAAGCTCACCGATGCACTGCTGAATATATTGGCCGGGCGCCCCTTTTTGTTTATTTTCATAACTATGCAAAACAGAAATAAAACACTGGCCGAAAGCAAAATATTGAAATATTTACATATGTATATGTAAACACAAACATCTCGTCGATTGGGTAATTTTTCTCTGATAATCAATTTCAAGTAAACTTTTTGGTGAAAAAAACTCGCATTTAATGTTTACTTTATGTTTTATTTTACGAAATTATTTCCTCTAAAAATTCATTTGTTTTTTTAAAAGAACAATCGCAAGTGATAATTATTCAGTTGA